TAGCTTATATAGTAAAAGTTACTAGGAATTACTTTCTATCTAGGCTTATAACTATTATATAAAGTATAAATTAGTTATAATAAGTAATTTAGTATTAATTAAAAGAGCCTTATTTTCTTTAATCTAAGGTAGCGGTCAGGTTAACCTTTTCTAGCTAAGGAAAATGCGCAGTGGGTTCAATCTGACCAATTAGAGAGGGATATGCTATTTACAGCTCAACAGCCTAGGTATTGGTTGGTACAGTCCAACCCTCACTTCTTGACTGTGTGGCTACGAAGATTATATCTGCAGCTTGGAGCCTTTGGCTTGTTGACCCTGTTGCCTTTCACCTGCTTCCCCGTTGCCACGCTTTTCTTGCCACCTCGACCTTTTGCTGTACTTGTCACCCGCTTCTTGACAGTATTGACAACCGGAGTATGTTTGGCATAGTCAAGCGGGTCATGTCGGGGAGCCTGTGTCATGCAAAGCTTCTCTTCCCATTGGTTCAGTATGGGTAAGTATGGACGCTGCTCCTCATCCGGGGGCCGTCGAAGGCGAGGTCTGAGTGTCTTCTGGTCGTCGGGGATACGGTAGGCTGTGGTCCAGCAAGTCCTTACCAGGCCCTTGGTTCTTGGCTTGATCTTCAGGAATATCCCCAAGTCTTCATGCCAAGTTTTGATGACCTCGGTCTGAAAGCAATATAAATCCCAAGCGGCCAAGCTCTGGAACGTCCAGCGTGGCTGCCAGAACTTTCCCGAGCCCAATGGATCTGGGTCTGGGCCAAACGGATGGGGGACAGTGGATGCAAGGCTCAAATCCACCAGCGTGCCGTTGACATACTGGCACTCAGCTAGGTCCCTGACAACTATCCCGTGTTTGTGGAGGTCGTGGAGTCCCTCGAGCATACGAGGGAAATGGCGGGCTTGGGCCACCCTTTGATATATATCATCGTAACGCGGGTCATCGTATTCCACCCCGTCCACCCAGTCTTTGACGATGCCCATGGCAGGGCCGTCGTCCATTCCGAGAAACCAATCCAGTTTTTCATAGGGAAGAATCATCTTAGACTTTGCAGCCTGTAGCTTCCGGGCAATGGTGTCGTTGAGGTCCATGGTGATGTAGCCATGGACTTTGACTGCGAGATCCTCGCGACCGACTTCTTTCAGTCTGCCAAAAGCTCGGCACTCGTTTTCGAAAGGTGTAAAATGAACGTCGAATCCGTCACAGCATCGATATGCGCTTCGTTCTTCCTCACCATAGCTATACTCTGATGTGTATGGAGGATTGATCGGGGGCTCCTCCCAAATGAACTACAATACTGTTAGCATCTCGTGCTAAGTTCTGCGTGGTACCCTAGTAGTCGAGACCACTACAATCGCGTTGACTTACGAATTTGATACAGTAGATCTTGTCTCCGATTCTTGTCTTGATAATCTTACTATGCGCATTGCGGTCGCACTCTAGGATCTTGAGAAATTCCACGTCATCCGCCTCGAGATTATGCTGGAAGGGCTCGAGCTTTGGGCCTTCGAAGTCAGGTAAAGGCTTGAGAGGAGCCTGAGGAGCCTGAGGAGGCATGGTTAACCACTTTGTAATTCTGGCGGTCCTTGGAAGTTGGGTAGGGGTAGGGGGGCAAACAATATTAGTAGGGCTGTGCGGCGAGATTTTAATTCACCCGAGAGAAGTTGAAAAGGCGAAGCTCCAGAAAGGAAGAGGAGTACAAAATATATGAAAGCTTTTGGTGTAGAAAATCAAAAAGGCAAAGAGGCGGGTGAGTTGTGACAAAAAGAAGGCCGTCAAAGAACAAAAAGTTCAAAGGAAAAGAAACTGAAAGAAAAAGAGTGGCATAAGGGTTGTGCTAGCATGGCCCAAGCAAGGTCAGTAAACAGAAATAGACGGCTTGTGAAATAGAAATTACAAACAAAGAGCCAGTCTGACATCAAATTCATTATTCAAAGGCGGCTGAAGCGGCCGCAGTCACTGAGAGAACAGGTCATTAGTACTATCTGTTTGTTGAGTGCTAAGCAGATCGGAAGACTTGTCCCCTGTTGCAAATGGTCAAACTAAGACGCCACAGCAATAATTCTTTCAGTTTGTAATAGTGATATTGCAAACGGCTGTGCTTCTGGGGTGCCACCACGTCCCGTTTCGCCACCTTGTCACACAAGGGTATGGAGTGACCCTTGAATGCTGTTTGCTTGGCTGCACGTACCCTCCGAAGCTGTAGCACTAGGAAAGAAAGCTATTGCTACAAGGTAAACCAGAATATGTGGCACGTTGAGCAAGCGGGAATAGGCCTTTGTTAGCTGTTGTTAGTCATGTGAAAGCTCGAGACAATCATCCTCACTCTAGTCCTGGAAGAAGAGGAGATAAGGCGTGTTTCCACTGCATAGGCACCGAAGTTAGGGAACTACCTAGGCTGGTATCTATCTATAGGCGAGTTGCACCCAAGAGACGGATGTTAACGAATAGCAAAGGAAAGCTGTTGGCGACCTGGCCAATCTAACAAATCCGACGTATCATAAACGGCGGCGCTAATGAGTAGGCTACCACTCTAGACTAGGTAGCTTGGGCAATATGCCTGGCAAATCGGCACGGAGGGTTGTTTGACATACTGGTTTACCACATTTCAACAAGTGACGTGTATGGATGTTGAGAATTTACCTAAGATGATGAGTGAATAAGACTATGAGAGATCCTAGAAGTATTTAAGAAACTCTTGTCCATTCTGCTTAACCGTTGAAGTCTCTTTCTGCATCTCCTCCACGTACCAACACTCATTAGTTCTGAGCCCTTTTACAGCAAAGCCCTTTTACAGCAACGTCTTACTCCTCCTCAGTGAGGCCCAGATCAACAGGTACTTCAAAGAGAGTGATTTACTCACACAGATCAGAACATGGATGGGCCGACCCTCCATGCGCTGCTCTCAATGGAGAATCCGACTATCAAAATCGCACATGGGGCATCAAACTGCCACGTTACCAGAGGTATTCCCATTGAACCACTCGACATCACCCGATGGGTTGATTTCACCTTCCATAATATCATCAGTGCCTATGGCCACATTCTTTCCCGACGCAGCTCAAGCTCGGAGAAAGTTAAACTTGAGAATGCAGAGGTCGAGGAAGAAGCACGCAACCTGACCGAGCTAAAGAAAGCTGCTTATAACTGGCTGGACTCAATTTGTGTTCCCCTCGTCTGTGAAGGCGCCGGTATTCTCCAAAGGAGTCTAAGCTGCCCGGACACAATTCGCAGTGGACGAGACGCTCCGCTCATCCCCAAGAAAGGAAGTCAGCCAAACTGGACATTCTTCGCCGGCCAAGATCACCGCATCTATTTCGTCACTGGCACTTTGCGCCTCTCGAAGGCGTGGAGCTCGGAAAAACTCAACAACCAAACACCCCGATGCAAGGAGCCAATCGAGCAACTTGCAAGACATGCAGTAGAAGCACAGACCCGGTACGGCTTCGTACTGAGCGAAAAGGAGGTCGTAGTTGTGTGCTTTTACACCACTAAACAAGGAAAACCTGCGGCAAAATGGCAACCGATTTCGACAAGTGCATCTGGCCAAGCGACATTGACGGTGAACTTGGCTATATGGGCTCTCACTATGATGAGCTTAAACGACCAGCATCGAAGCGTTGTGCAAGAGGCATATACATTGCCGTTGAATGCGTGGTCGGCGCAACCCGGTCACTATCGCAATCATCTTTCGGGACGAGTTCTCCCCGACCTTCCAGCTGGTGGCATCATCCTGGATCAGTAGGCCCAGAATGACTTGGGTGATGAGAAGGGTTAATGCGTCCGCATTAAAATGTGGTAACTTTTCATCTCTTGTTTTTCATGTTGGGTATCTCTTCTGTCTGGGATAGCATGGGGTAAATAACAGGGCGATGGATCGTTTAAGGGCCAGCAAAAGTGGCGCGGAAGGGATGAGGTTACGGCGGTCTGATCTGACATTAGCTAGGTAGGGAGATATGCCCAATTCATTACACTTTGCCTGTTATGAAGTACCGATACATCTTAGATCCATGTCCGTTGAGTAAAGAACACAGACTCCAAGCACACACTAGGGCAAATGGTTCAGTATATCTACCGGCATTTGGTAACGCCGCAAAGCCTAGGAAACCACGCCAAGCATACAGCTTAGTTGAGTTGAAGTCTTACGACCTAATGGGACGGTCCGGTCTGTCTTGCGAATTGTGTTACACGAGGATGACATCCCCAAATGTATACCTCAAATTGAAACGTCACTTTATTTCCAAGTTTGAGTTGCACCCCAACAACAAGCAAGCCTCGTTTGAGGCCCGGTTAGCTCAATCGGTAGAGCGTGAGACTCTTAAATGAGTACACCATCTCAAGGTTGCGGGTTCGACCCCCGCATCGGGCTGTTCCTATACAAATGATACGATTGATCTCCTTTTTTTTT